CTGAGGGTCACTTTTCACTGCTTTTTATCTGTCCTTGGCAGACTTTGGTGACTCCCCAGTTTTCAGGTTTGCCCAATCCAGGGGTCGTTGACCCTCGTGGGACTTCCCCCTCGATGGCTACTGGATGGCATCTGTCAGCCCCAGGGGTCATCCGCATGTACGTGCAGGTTTGGGAGTCCGTTGATGATTTTTTAATAGGGTTCTGGGAGCGGTCGATCTGGAGATATTCATCCCAAAAGTTGGTCCCCAACGTTGAGGCTTATGGGCCTATAGTTTCCCGGGTCCTCCTTCCTCCCTTTCTTATAGATGGGGACCACATTAGCTAGTTTCCAATCTTGGGCACCTGGCCCGTGGACCACGATCGTTCGTACAGCCAGGCCAGGGGCATAGCAATGACCCCCGCCAGCTCCCTCAACACCCGTGGGTGGAGGGCACCAGAGCCTGCAGATTTGAAAACATCCAGTCCTTCCAGAAGATTCCTAACTACTTCTCCGCAGACCCGAGGCCTGGCAGTGCTAGCCTCAAGATTGCCCCTACCTGTGGTGGGAGAGCTGTCCTGTTCCCTGTCCAAGAAAACGGAGGCAAAGAACTTGTTAAAGATTTCGGCTTTCTTGTTTGGCATAGCCACAAGATTACCATTTGAGTCTAACAGGAGCCCTATGTTACCCGCTGCCCGCTTCTTACTCCCAGTGTATTTGAAGGACTTTTTGTTGTCCTTAATCCTGGTCACTAGCCTGAGCTCCACCCCCACCTTGGTTGGAATTCCTAATGGCCATCCTGCACTCATGGGCCAAGGAGGAGTATTCTTCCTTGGTGATAGCCCCTCTCTTCCACCGGGTGTATGCCTCCCTTTTGGCCCTTAGGCATTCTCGAATGCCTTTGCTGAGCCATGGGGGTTTCAGAGCACTCTTACCCCACTTCTTTCTCTCGGGGACTGTCACACTCTAAGCCTGGAGGATCGTCCCCTTAAGATACGACCATCCCTCATGGATTCCCATCTCCTCTACCTTTTGGGCCCTCAATGCCTCCCCCACTAATCTCCTAAGTTTGTTGAAGTTGGCCCTTCTGAAGTCAGGTGCTTTAGTCTTGGTATAAGCCCTCAACACCCTGCACTGGATGGTGAATTCCAGCAGGCGACGATCACTGTCACCCAGGTGGTCAAGGACCTGCAGTCCCCTCACCAGGTCATCCCCAGTAGCCAAGACCAGGTCCAGCAAGGCATCTCCCCTAGTGGGGCTGTGCACCTCCTGGATAAGGTGGAGGTCTTGTATTTCAGCCAGGAACCTACGCAAATGGTCAGACCTGGCTGACTGCCCCTCCCAGCAGATATCTGGGTAGTTTAGGTCCCCCATGACAACAGCATCCCTAGACCCAACTGCCTCCCATAAGCTGTACTGAGAAATCC